TAATAACTCATGTTACCGTTGTTTCGGCGGATAGAAGTTTTTCAAAATAAAATTTGATAAAATTTTAGCTAAAATCAACAATGTCTCAAGAGAGGGTAAGTGGATTAGCTATATTTTCTATTGAGAAAGACTTATTAGGAGAAATTAATTTTAAAAAAATTATTAATAACTTTGCATCTTAAAAAGGTTAAAAAAAAATAGACTTCAAATAAAAAATATTTTAAAAAATAAAAATAAATAAAGTTCCTCGTAAAATTTGGATTTAGGCCACAAAATTCGTTGAGCCGCCTATATGGGTGCTGAAAAAGTGGTCTTTGTATAAGGCCATGATTGGAGCGTTTGTAGCGACTCTTTTGTTACTTTACACTTGAGTGATGACCATGGAGTTGGGTTTATTGGGATTGCTTGGGCCTTTGGTTAGTGGCATAGCCAACCTATATCAAGGTAGTCGAGCGCACACCATTCGCCGAAAAATTATATTGTGTATATAAGTTAAATACTTCCTCTGTTTTAATCTATATGAACTCAGTTAACTGGGCACGTAGTTTAATAAAAAAGAGAAAACTTTTGAACTTGTAGTATGAAATGAGTTACATATATTTTGTGTGACCATAAATCATTGCATAAAGATAAATTATTTTCAAATATGGAAAGTGGTCATTCTTTTTATCATATACTAAAAAGGAAATAGGTTCACATAAATTGAAACGAAGAAAGTATTACTATATATGATTATATGTTATATTATTATCACCCTTAACACAGTTGAGTGAGCCAGTTCAGCAGTTCAAGGTGTTCAAAGTGACATGTTATTCACAGGTTCAAAGTTCCGCTCATTTTATTTGCCAAAGCTAAACGGAGACCACCATGTGTGTTCTATTTGATTATTTCTCAATCTAAAAAATTTTCTAATAAAATAACTCTTAAAACTTAAAATTTGTGTAGAAATAAACAACTAATCTTAAAAGTAATTTTTTAACTAATCTTAAAAGTAATTTCTTAAATAAAAATTATAATTTAAAAGTCAAACTCTACAAAAATTTCTTCAATAAAGCTCTCTACAAACTACAAATCCTCTCGACTCTCTCTTTCCTTTAGTTTTATGCTTACTTTAATTAGTAAAATTTCTAATATTGTCTTTTTGTTATTTTAATTTTGATGTATAAAACTATAGTTCTAGTTAATATTTTTTTATTGTTTAGATAAATATTGCATATTTTGATTTAAAAATTTGGTACACGTCTCACCAGTGCGACTTAGATAAAGACCCGCTCAAGGTTGGAGTAGTCTCTTAAGAGGTGAAGGGCAAGGTCGCTGAGTCATTGAAGATCAAGGTCAAGGAGTCACTGTGGATCAAGGTCAAGGCCGAGCATTCGCCTTGGACAGGATAATAACGGCTAGTTTTTATGATAAGACATTAAAAAAATATTCTAGTGGATATTCTATGTACTTGTACTATTAGGGTTTTTGAGTTTATATTCCCTATAAATAGAAAGAGACATAATTATATGAGACATAAGATATTCATTTGTAAAGAAACACATTGACTTTCTCTATAGAATCTGACTTTATTGCAAACATACAACATATACCTTTTTCCTAAGATTCTTGCCTAATCTTTCCACTCGATCAAAGAACAACCTAAATATTCGATGCTCATCAATCATTCATCATTATCAGAAGAAATATCCACAAATCACACTCCTTTTCGGGTGACTCACACGTTCTTAATTACTTAAATGTCATTCGTTGTTATTTAATGTTATCCCCCTCTTTTTGGGTCATTTAATATTGTTAGTGTTGTCAATATTTATTGTCATTCGGATAATACACATGTTATCTTATTACAAAATCAGTTAACATATCATTTAGACATTAATATTGGTTAAGATTGACTCTATTTTATTAAATATAATTGGTTAAGCCCAGATCTAAATTTTGGGTCAAACACATTTATCGACAAAAAAAATATTAATTTATTTAAAATTTGAACACTCTTGACGTAATTCCTGACTACGCCAACTTAGACGAGCCAAATTGGGTCAAGCAAAAAAATACATCATGATCCAATCGTTCATAATTTACTTGGATCAACATGGATTGTGTTATGAAAAAAAATGAATTAGCTCAAATAATGTGTCATAATCTAACTCGTCCATGATAGAGGAACCTTCATCTATTTCTAATGTGAGCTTCCCTTTAACAGTATACTTGAATCTTCTAATCTTCTCTTTTGTCAAGAGAATTTGACCATTTATATTAATCCTATTTGTGTAGTATAAATTCGACAAATGGTTTTGTGTCCACCTAGTTCCGTCACCGCTTGAGAGTACAGTGATCCTGAAAGCAAAGAGTGTAGATCTAATTAGTACTTCTGTATATTGTATGCTCTAAAGATAAGTTCTATGATTTAGATTATACTAATCTTTCATTTTTCTTTATACACCCACATTAAATAAAAAGAATATATGGATGTAAGGCTGTTATTTGATCTTTATTAATTAAAGTTAATAATCATGACTTCTCACGAATTTCTTGTTTACATGCATAGATGCTTCAATAGATAATATAAGTTCATCCATTTGTTCGTTTCATGATAAAATTTATATTCTATTGACTATGAAAAAGAAATTTCTACATTGCTAGTAATAATCCAATGGATTAAATTTGTATTTCACGTGGGGAAAACATTCTACAACACAAAAAAGGGACAAAATCTGAAACCAAACAATTTGACTTGGTTTGATTTGATTTAGTTTGTGCATTTAGTAAACCCTCAGCCAAACTAAAACATGTGAGTGTCTTTATCTGCTTCATACATCATAGTAACAACTTAAAGGAATGTTTTACTGTTCGAATTGAGACTTTTCGGCGCAATCATGCCCTAAAACAAATACCAAACACTTGAAGAACTCAAAAGAAAATATTTAAAGAAAAGGTACAATTAATTGAAATCAAGCCTCCTAATTTTCAAGAATTAGTCACTTCAATAGATTTCGATGTTTCTCTTTTTTGTTCATATTCCAAAAAGGTATTGAGCAAATGTAAGACCAAAATATTCAGAGGACTCTTTCAACTTATTTTCTTTCAATTAAAATTGAGATTTTTGCCGAATGCTGTGTATTATGCTCTTATATACTTTCTGATAACTAGACTTTTACTATTTCCAAGTTTACGCAATCAACTAACTTGATTTCTAGGGTTAATATTGAAGGTGGTCATATTAATCCAGCAGTGACTTTTGGACTATTCCTTGCTAAGAAAGTGTCCCTAAGCAGAGGATTATTGTGTATTATAGTTCAATATTTGGGAGCCATTTATGGTGTTGCTTTAGTGAAGGCCATATATAAAACTCGTTATGACCTCTACAGTTAATCAACTAGAGGCCCTAAGAATGCCAGAGATTCTCCTGTCCCCGTAAGTAATGTTAGTAATTGAGCGTTCAATTTATATATTGACGGTATAATATATATTTATACAATAATATCGGTTATGAGATCATCACAAATAAGTTGTTAACCTAATAAATGTACACACATGATTTTCTTGAACTCTAGGTCTTGGCACTTCTTCCAATTGGATTTGCGGTTTTCATGGTTCACTTGGCTACTATCGCAATCACCGGCACCGGAATCAACCCTGCTAGAAGTCTTGCAACTGCAGGGGCGGATCTACCTTATGAGGTAGGGGTACCACGACACCCGCTCGCTTCGCTAAAATTCTTACTATGTACATAATATCTCTGTGGAGAAACGTATATATGGATAGAGTGGCACCCAGAAGTCACAAAGTGGAAGCGTGTGCCATTGGTTCAGCCTTCCCTTTGAAGGCTTTCTTTGGCCTCATGAATGCAAGTTTGATTCCCTGTTGGAGCAGCTCCGTTGATTTTTCATTTTTTCTACTTATTAAGATTTCCTTTGTTTTCAGTTGAGCCCTAGGGCCTCATCTCTTTTCCTTCTTTTTCGGCTCTTTCTCTCCTTTTCTTCTTTTTATTACTTGTTAAGTCTTTCTTCTTCATTTTTTTAACTTTCAGTCCTCATTTTGTTTCTATCATTATACCTTACTTTATGAACAATTATTTTCTATAGGTAATTGGAATTGATTTTAATTAGCATATAATTTTTTTTTAATGAAACGATATTAATTTATATATTGGAATATAATTTGAGCAATATCTTCTACTGGGTTTTGAAAAAAATTAAATGGCTTGATTGATAGTAGTTTTGAGTCGAATATCATAGGTTGAATGTTGAAGGTTTTTCTTTGAAAATAATTGTTATATAACTCAACAATTAAGATGAAAAAATAAACAAGAACAATACAAGTAAATTAATCTAGTCAAACAAAGAATATATAGTGTAGTTAAGCTACTCTTTAAGCAAATATTTATATTGAAGGCGCTCTTTCATGAAATGTTATTTTTCTTTTGCATTTTTATTTAGAATGTGTTTAAATTAAGCGTTAAAAATTTGAACTAAAATAACTTATTTGCTTTGTGAATGAAATGCCTATTCAAATTAACCAAAAACTAAACGAACCGACCCATTATTCATAATCTGTCTTTGTAGCTACTGACATATATACTGTATGCATAACATGGTGGTACCCGCAACCTTCGAATCCTGAATTCGCCTCTGTGCAATTGCAGTCATTTACAATAAACACGAAGCATGGAATAACCTTGTTCACTACTAAAAAATGACAGTTTTCCGACCGTCAATTTGCGGCTGAAAAAATTTAGTTGGAGTTTCCGATTGAAACGGTTGAAAATTTGCTAAAAAATATATTTACTACTTTTTAATAATTTTAAGATTGACACTGCGACTGAGCCCGTCGAAAAAATTGACGGATAAAACCGCAAAAGTTTTTTGCGAGGTTTCCGACCGTTTTGTCGGAAAATAAAAAAATTAAAATTAAAAATTGGAACCGATTTGCAATTAATTGCCGCCTGACACGTTTGACTTCGTTGACCCGCTTGTGCGATTGCTTTCCCCCGAAAATATTTTATTTGGCCTCTTTCACTATTTGTTTTTTCCTTTCCTCCCAACTCCTCCCCCATCCCACCCCACGGTGGAACCCTCCACGGCAGGTGCCATTGCAGATAAAGGTAATGCAATTCTTGCTCTCCTTCTCTTTATCCCTCGTCCTCTCCTCTTCTTCTCATTTTCCTATTTCAATTTTTTTAGTAGCGGGCAACAGTGGTGTGTAGCAGCAACGGCGGCGGTGGACTCCGGCGACATTGTCTTCCTCTACATTCAGTGGCGGTATTGTAGTGGTCCGATTGCAAGGTTAGTAAAAAATTTATTAAATTTATTAAATTTATTCAAGTATTTAGAAATTTATGATAGAAAATAGATTGATTTTCAATTTTATATTTCTCGTAGTATATTTAATGATTTATTTGTTTTGAAATCATAAAATTGATTAGTTGGGTTAAAAATTATGTATTTTTCATAGCACATTTAAATTTTGTATTTCTCATAAATATTTTGTAGTTCTAATAGCACACCTAAAAGTTGCTTAGTTGGGTTAAAAATTTAAAACTCGTCGATTGTAGTTGGAATCAAGATTGGGAGCAACCTTATAGACTTTAAGTTTTCCTTTTACCTCTCTTCCTCTTAGTAAAAATATTCATAAATGATAGTAATAAAAAAAAAATAGTTGGTGCAATTTGACGAAGCACGATCTAATGAATCACAATCACTTTAGTAAAAAAGATTTCCGAGAATATGACAAGAGGATAAGTAACACTAAGCTAATATTTCTACTTTTATACCTATACAAATAGAAGCCTTAGAAATTAAATTATTTAAAATTGGATTCTTAAAAATTAGCTTATTGTGTAATGCTATTTAACCTTTCAAAATAAGAACCTTTAAATGAAATAATATTTAATATTTTTGTGTAGATGGAATTTGGGCATCGTAGATAGATGTATAATAGGAATCATCTGAATTGTACGGGCTTGCGGGATAAATTTATAGAAGGGGTTGCTGGCTTGATGTAAGACCCGACCGGTCGTTTCGAGCACTTGTACTTCGCTCAATAGTTTGAGGGCATGAGTAGCTCCGTATGATGTATTATGACTTATGTGAATCGTCGGTTTTGGTTTTCAGGTTATTCGAAATCGATTTGAAAGAATGAATTTCATCATTTAAGCTTTAAGTTGGAAGAGTTGACCAAGTTTGACTTTTGTGAATTTCATCATTTTAGTGTTGTTGGATGTGATTTGAAGACTCGACTAAGTTCGTATGATGTATTAGGGCTTGTTGGTATATTTGGTTGAGGTCCCGAGGGGCTCGAACGTGTTTCAGATGGTATTCGGATTATTTCCCTTCATTTTGGCACTGCTGGTAGCTGCTGTTTTTTGGTGTTTCAAACCTTTTTCGCGATCACGAAAACCCTCTTGGATAAATTTGAGGATTTGAGGGTCGAATTGTCATCGAAATTTAGTCATTTTGGTATGGCTAGACTCGTGGTTGAATGCACATTCATATTTCGTAACTTTCGCCGGATTTCAAGACGTGGGCCCCACGAACGATTTTTTTAGTTAATTTCGGATTTTTATTGAAAATATAGTATTTTCTTATGGAATTGATTCTATAATTTTTGTTGACTGTATCGAATTAATTATGACTAGATTCGAGTCGATCGGAGTTAGAAAATCGAGGAAAATGCATACTACTTGATTAAATTGGAGCAAGTCGAGGTAGGTGACTTGTCTAACCTTGTGTGGGGGAAATTCCCCTAGGATTGGTATTGATGTAATAATTGTAATGTGTTGCAAGTCGTGTACACGAGGTGACGAGTGTATACACGGGCTAAATGTGGAAGATTATATTTTTAAATTGTGTAGATTACTGTTGTATATTAATTAAATTATTTTATTTTGTTATATTCTCCATCATTGATCTGATTTATATACTTTAAATTTGCTTGACTTTCTCTTGCTAATTGTTTTTACCTATTTAGCTGAAACTTAGTTTCTTTTATTCTGTGCATTATTTGAAGGTGGAATTTCTTTAATTTAAATATTATTAATATGAAGTATTTGATATTTTAAATTTGGAACTGAGGCAACGTATCAAAAAATATTTTCTTTAAAATTAAATGTGAAGGCTCCCGCGGTGATATAAGAAAATGAGATATTATAAATTTTATTTATGATTTAGGACTACGAGGCGGTACCTCGGGAGTGCCGTTATTGATATTGATTTATGGCCGCAATTGCCTTTGATTATTGTTGTGATTTTCTTAAAGTTGAAAAGAATTCTGTTTTGTTTCCTTGAGGTATTATTTGCCGTTATTTTGCATAGTTAATTGGTGACATACTACTTACTTGATTCATTTCCATTCTCATTTCATTTTATTATATTGTTAAACATTTTACCTTGTCTTTTATTAATCCAGTAGGGCCTGACCTGACCTCGTCACTACTCTACCAAGGTTAGGCTTGAAACTTATTGGGTACCGCTGTGGTGTACTTATACTACGCTTCTGTACATCTTTTTGTGCAGATCCAGGTACATCCTGCCAGTCCAAACATCAGTAAGCTACCTGTGTACGGAGATTTCGAGGTATATCTGCCAGCGTCCGCAGACTCTAGAGTCCCCTTCTATCATTATTATGTTGCTTCCTTATTTTTCTTAGATCCTGATATATATAGATACATTGAGGATAAATTCTTAGAGGCTTGTGACTTATTTCTACCAGGTTTTGGGAGTTGTAATTATGTGAATTGTAGATTTATTTATTTCATATTTCAATTGTTATTCCGCATTGATAGGCTTACCTAGTCTTAGAGACTAGGTGCCATCACAACATCCTACGAAGGAAATTTGGGGTCGTGACAAGTTGGTATCAGAGCTCTAGGTTCATAGGTGTTATGAGTCATAAGTAGGTTTAGTAGAGTCTCGCGGATCGGTACGGAGACGTCTGTACTTATCTTCGAGAGGCTATGGAACTGTTAGAAAATATTCACTTCTTTGATTCCTTATCGTGTGCATTTGTTGACTTCAAAATTTTAAACCGTTGTCTTTCTATTGTCTCACAGATGGTGAGGACACGCACAACTGGATCCGATGATCAAACACCCATGCACCCTGTTGGATCCGCAAGAGGCCGGGGCAGAGGCCGTGCCAAAGGCCGAGGAAGACCACATGGTGCGGCCAGAGCACCTGCTCGAGCTGCTGCAGCAGAGCCACAAGTAGCTCCAGTTAGAGAACGGGCACCTGAGACGCCTGTTACTACTCCTGCACTTCAGGAGACCCTTGCCCAGGTTTTGAGCATGTTTGGCACTCTAGCTCAGGCAGGGTTGATTCCACTTGTTCTTGCCACATCTCAGGCCGTGAGAGGAGCACAGACTCCCGCCGCCCCTACTCCCGAGCCACATGCCCAAGTTGCCAATGCCCCAGATGCTATACCAGTTCAGCCCGAGGTTAGGGCAGCAGTTTTAGAGGGGGAGCAGCTCAGGCTCGAGAGGTACAAAAAGTACCGCCCTCCCACATTCAGTGGTTTAGCTTCAGAGGATGCTCAGGGTTTTCTGGAGGAATGTCACCGTATCCTTCGTACTATAGGTATTGTGGATTCCAGTGGGGTTTCTTTCACGGCATTCTAGCTCAGAGGAGCAGCCTACCAGTGGTGGCGGACATATGAGTTGGATAGTTCGGTTGAGGCAACTTCACTTACTTGGACTCAATTTTCTGATATGTTCATGAGGAAATATGTTCCTCAGAGTCTTAGAGATGCATGGCGCGCAGAGTTTGAGCAGCTGCGCCAGGGTTCTATGACCATGTCGGAATATGCGGTCCGATCCAGTGATTTGGCTAGGCATGCACCAGCCTTAGTTACTACCGTTCGAGAGCGGGTTCGCAGATTTATTGAGGGTCTCCACCCTAGTATCAGATTCAGTATGGCCTGAGAGCTAGAGATGGACATCACATACCAACACGTGGTGTCAATTGCTAGGAGATTGGAAGGTATGCGGATACGGGAGAGGGAAGAGAGGGAAGCTAAGAGACCCCGAGATTATGGCACGTATAATAATTCTCGTGCCCCAGCTGCAACCCGTCATGGTAGAGGTTATGTGTGCCGTCCTATTCATTCAGCACTTCCAGCTTCCAGTGGTATTCCGGATACTCCCAGACCTCATGTTCCATATTATGCACTGCCAGTGTTTTCTGTACCTCCTGTACGGGGTGCCTTCAGCGGGCAGTCTAGTCGATCAGGCCCGAGCCAGTCCCAGCAGCCACATCCTCCGAGGGTTTATTTTGAGTGTGGTGACACTCGTCATATCATGAGGGATTGCCCCAGACTTAGGAGGGGTGCACCTCCACAGGTTTCTCAGGCCCCACCTATTCCACAGGGCCCTCAGGCTTCTCAGGCCATGATTACTGCACTAGCTGCCACTCCACATGCACAACCAACTAGAGGTGGAGGTCGGACAGGTAGAGGTCAGACAGGAGGGGGAGGCCAGGCCAGATATTATGCCCTTCCTGCTGTGACAGAGGTCGTTACATCCGATTCTATTATCACAGGTATTATTCCGGTATGTCATAGAGATGCATCAGTCTTATTTGATCCAAGCTTCACTTATTCTTATGTGTCATCTTATTTTGCCCCGTATTTGGGCGTATCCCGTAATTCCTTGAGTTCTTCTGTTTACGTATCTACACCCGTTGGTGAATCTGTTATTATGGATCATGTNTTCTGTTTATGTATCTACACCCGTGGGTGAATCTATTATTGTGGACCGCGTGTATCGGTCGTGTTTAATTGTTATCAGTAGTTTTGAGACCAGAGCTGATTTATTATTGCTCAATATGATGGATTTCGATATTATTTTGGGCATAGACTGGTTGTCGCCGTATCACACTATCCTTGATTGTTACGCCAAGACGGTGACATTGGCTATGCCAGGTATACCGCAGATAGAGTGGAGAGGTACCTTGGATCATGTTCCTAGCAGGGTTGTTTCATTTCTTAAGGCTCAATGAATGGTTGAGAAGGGGTGTGATGCGTATCTGGCCTATGTGAGAGATGTTAGTGTTGATACTCCTACCGTGGAGTCAGTTCCTATAGTAAGGGATTTTCCTGATGTATTTCCAGTGGATCTTCCGGGTATGCCACCCGACAGGGATATTGACTTTGGCATTGATTTATTACTGGGCACTCAGCTCATTTCTATTCCACCATATCGTATGGCCCCAACAGAGTTGAAAGAATTAAAAGAATAGTTACAAGAGTTGCTTGATAA